CAGGAAAATCTGGATGGCTTCTAAGGAGATCCTCTGAAGACTGTTAGTTTTAAGGTGCATTTTTTTTTTTTCCTGCAGAGTGGTATTTCTTATACTCAAAATGTGGAAGGAGGCGAAGCATTTGCTTCTGTGGAGATAAGAAATTTATGAGGTAGAGAAGTAAGGTGGAAATGCTCGTTTTCAAAGAAAACTCAATTTTATTAGTCCTCAAAATCTGCTGTCTATTTATCCACATACAAGGATCTATACAGAACACTAATGCTGGGACACTAGTGGTCTAGGAGACCATGAACACCCATGGCAAAAGGCAGGAGCTTGCAGCCCGCTCAGGGGGCTGCTCTGGAGGGACCTGCAGAGCTCAATCAGTCCTGTTTCAATGCCCAGCTTTCTAAACTTGAGTGTGGAGTGGATATTTCAGTAAGTTTCTGTAACCTAACAAGGAAGTTGTTGCAAAAGTTGTCTGTCTGTCTGTCTTCTTGCCCACTTAGAAATATTCTTCCCAACATTTAAGGATTTGATGTGTTTCAGGTGAGGGACAATGCTGATTTTGTTCGAAAGCAGCTTAAAATTTAAGAAGTTTTGAGAGCTTGATGTGGTGTAAGAGCTTGGGTTTATTTGTTTCTGCTGCTTGGATCCTGCTTGTTCAAATGTACTAGGTCTTTTTGGAGAAGCAGATGTAACATTAGTATTCAGGAGACTCCAGGGATTCCTGAGTTTCAGCTTTCTATTTGTATATCAGGAAGAACTCATCTGGTCCTAGCAGAGCCGTATTATTAACTTGAAGATGTAACAAATGCAATGCTTATTTGAGAAAAGTGGAAGTAGGTCAAGTAGTTTCAGAATCGGTATCAGCTCTGTGTTCCTTTTGTGTTATTCTGTTAATGCAAGCACGTTTTTCTCTCTTTTTCTCCTTCCCTTTGTTCCTAGGTGTTGCACCCCCTAGCAAGGACAGCAGTGTACATGTTCATATTTAAAGGTTATAAAAGCCTGATGTGAGATGTTAAAAGCATTCAGCACACAAAAACAGCCTAGGGTCCTCTGAGGATGAGAGAGAAAATGTAGGAGCATAGGTCCATTCATATTGGATTTTCCAATGATTTTTTTAAATCTCAGTGTATTTTCAGATTATTCTGTTATTTTTTTAAGCTTAACTAAGCTTAACCATTTTACCCAACAAATATTACAAGCCGTTCTGAAACTTCTATTTGATACCTTGTAGAGGAAGTGTTACGTGTTTCCATCTCTGACTTTTTTTAATGTTCAGTCAGCCTTCAGGGGTCTAATTATCTGTAATCAGTAGTAAGCTTTTCAAGATTGATAAATATGCCTGAGACCCAAAATTTCCCCCTTCCTTCCTCAAGCAATGAGGTGTCCTTAGGACTTGAGCTTTTCGATAAAAATATCTTGTGGCACCTGTATGTTACTGTGGCCCGTCCCCCAAAGTGCCACTGGGATCCGTTGAGCTTTCTGGATTGCTGCTATCCTGCATCAAGGAGAGAGGAAATCAAGCATTGCCATGTCTGAATTCAAGACTTTGCAAGGTGTGCTCTGAAAACATTTAAGATGCTACTGATTTCAGTACTAGGGGGTAGGAGATGCTGTTGTTCATCTTTAGATAATAGGCTAGAGGCTAGAGTACTTTCTTGGCATTTTCATTTTAGCATTTTTTCTTCTGGAATGATGAATCTTACTTTCTTAGCTGTGGTTTGATCCCAGTTCAACAGGGAGAATAAGTGTCCCATCCTGCATGTCTTGTAATTTAGTCTCTTGGGATGTGGATTAAGTCCTCAGAATAAAGAAAGCCTAGATTCAAGGTTTACACCCTTCCTCGTGGATGTTGTTCCAGATACAATAACAACTTTCTTAATATACAAAATCTGCTGGTCTTATGAGAGGAAAATGATGGTCCAGCAGTCTGTGCTCCTATGCATGTTTTACTCTCCGATGCAGAGGAAAGAATTTCAGGGTATGTCTTCTAACTGCATGTACAGCATCCACTGTAGTTTCCGATATAGGGACCAAAGCTCAGGTGAGGAAACCTCAGATGCCCCCTACTTTGCACCATATGGGTTAACTGACACGTCCTAGCACTTAGCCTGCTTGTGATAGATCCAGGTCTCTTGCTCATGCTGCTCCTAAAGCTGCTTGTCCAGTACTACATGACTGCACATCAGTGTCTAACTATCTTTTAGGAGCCAACCAGCAGATACCAATACCTTCTTTTATTACAGTTCTTATGCAAAATCTCTGTGTATGTGTATATATATGCATATGCATCTGTGTGTTTGTTTGTGTGTTTGTATATGTGTATATATACATAAATAGGTTTTTCTGTACTCTCATTTTGGGGGGGATGAATGTTTTGTTTGAATAATTATTTACAGGTATCAAAGTAGGACATTGATACATCACTGGAACCAGTTTAATGCCTGTGTGCAGCAATCATCTGTGCTGTATTGTGTGGATGGTTTATCTAGTGTCTGACCTTAAGTCATGGTCACTGATGGGCTCCACTTAATGTTTCATGGTTAGCCACAGAAGTCTTTGATCATTTTGTGACACAGAGAAAATGAGAAAGGGTTCATGTACAGGTAAATATGATTGTGATAAGTGTGATTTAAGTTGGCCTTGAACCCTAAGTTTGCTGGTTTGGACCTGGTGCAATGCATTTCTTCAGGAAACCCTAAGGGACTGCGAAGTGCAGAAACAAACTTTGCTCCCTGCTATTCTGTATATTCAGGGTCACTATATTTCCTCAGAAAAGAGCTACATAATTCATCTCTTCAAATATTGATCACCTCTTTTTAGTAAAATATTTCGCACTTTTCTCTGTTACGGAGAAGTGATCTGAGTCTTCTGCTTTGAGTCCAAACTGATAGATTTGATTATCCCTTTTGGCACACAGAGAAAACCAGCCATTGGGCAAAAAAAACCTAATGTAAATGGCTTGCGGACGCACTGGGTGCGTTGGATGGAGGTGGGAACAGCCTGCAGGGCTGAAGCAGCTTTGCTGCTCCGCGGGGTTGACTTCTGAAAAGGACTTGGATTAACCGGGCTCAGCCAGAAATTACAGACCTCCTCTTTGAGATTCAGCTGGATGTTGTTGCTTCCTGTCGTGAAGGTCCCTGCATTTTGGAAAACCTCTGGAAAAAAGTAAAAAAAAAGAGACCAAAAGGCCAAGTCTGTCATTGTGACCCTAAATAGTCTTTTCCTCGAGCTAGTCTTAATTCTCTCCGTTCCGAAATGTGCTTGGAATAGATCTGGATAGACAATTGCTCCCTTGTGCCAAATATAACTAATACATTTGCTGACAGAAGTGTACATCATTTGAAAGTGTTTTTTTTCGAATACCTTCTGCTAGAGCAGAGTGAAGGTGTTGCCATCTTTGCAGGATGTGAGGGGCTTCTGCCTACTCTATTTGGGTCTGTTCAAGCTCTCTGATGTTCTACGTGGATTTTCAAGCCAGTGCAGGATGGGAAAGGTGACTCTGTGCTATTGGCCTAGCTCCAGCAGAGCATCTTTACAGAACTCCGGATCCTTATATTACCTCTTAGACCCTAACTGAGAGTGGATAAAACTGTGCCCAAACAGCTGTCTGATGATATCAAAATTTTAAATCTTGTAGTGATACCATTAACTGTGGAGCAAGGGGGCAGTGGGCAGGCAGTTACTTGCACAGGTGTATAGGAATCTTAGGTTTTATAGGAGAGGCACTTTTAAAATATAAATCAGATTTGATTCATTTAGTCTTGTTATGAGCTCTCTTTTGGGCACTGAATATGATAGATGCATCTTTGAAAAAGCAATATCTGTCTTGCAGTTGGGTTATTCCTTTGTCTCCCACTTCTCCTTGTCTGTCACCAGAAAAATTATATCGCCAGGTAGATTTTTCCAGAGGTGCACTGAATTTCAAGTTAATCCATGTGAAATTACTAAAAGCTTTTCTATCCCAAACAGAAAAAAAAAAAAGATTCCAGCTTTCTGGTGCTAGAGTTGGAGCTTTCTAACATGCAAAAGCTTAAATCAGAAAAATTCCTCATTAGAGTAATTGAAGCAAAAATACTTCACGGAGCTGAAAGAACATAGTAAAATAAGAAAATAACCTAGTTATTCAGTTCTGTCAAGTGTTTCCATTAAGGAACTGAACAAAATTATAAGTAGGTATTTCTGAACCTTTGGACATAGCTCATTGTTCACTTGTAAAGTGCCTGTAAGTTTGTTTTGTTTGTCATCCATAAAATGCTTAGTAAAAATCCATCCTGCTTGAACTACTAGGACCATTCTGAGATAATGGATCTACATATTGGAAGGAGACGTTTTCAGATGGCAAGCTCCAGAACCTGACTTTTGTTCTTAAAGACTTTAATAACATAGAGTGGTAATTGATGTGTGGTTCATTTGTCACTTATGCAGCTCTAAAGGTAAAAATTAACTACATAGTGTATTTAAGAGGTGGAAACTTACTCACTAAGAGATGAGTTGACCTACCTTTGTAGGTCAGGAATGACAAATCCACAAGGAAGAGACCACCAGTCTTAGATTGGTGGATCCAAAATGGGAGCTAGGGTTCTTTTTTAGTAAGTTCTGGTTTTTGTACCACAAGAATAGCAATGCAGTGATGGTCAATGTGCCTTGAGGCAATGTGTCACTTATGCATGGATATTTGGTTAGTGAGGTTAATCTAATTAGCCATGTTCTTAATCATTATAATGGTACAATTGGAAATAATAATTGCCACTGTTGTAAGAAAAAAAAATTGCTTGCAATTTCCTGTGTTAAATTACAGTTTTAATCATCAATTATATATGCTGTTGTTTTGCTGCTAGTGAGAGAGGTTTCTTTAGGTGAAATCTGGAAGAAAAATACATAGCTCACTAATTTCTGATGTTAACTACTCCAAAGGTAGTGTGACTAGATGAGTATTGTGTTATGCGTTATTGTGTCATGTGATAACAGCACCATGTTTTCCTGTCATTTTCACAACTTTTTCCTGGCTGAAGTGATGCACAAGCAACACTGGGTAGTAATCACATTGTCCCGTTCAGTTTCAAAAGGAGAGAAGCGGACCTCATCCAGAAACTTTCCAGCAGGCTACAGTAAGCTTAACTGTCTGTTAGCCATTGTCACATATTTTCCATATCCGCAAAAATGGCATCTGTAAAGTATTGGAATTTGTCTCAGAAATAGCGTCATTCCATGAGTGATTTCTGTGTAATGATAATGATATCGCATCTCAGTATCATTTGCCAAAGTATAAATATATATATATATATTCTGATTCCTTTGTTGATTCTCATTGATGTGCTCATGTCTCTGTTTCCTGTTCTTTCACGGATAGCTGGCCATGGCTCAGGAAATGTAATGTGTCAGGAAAAGAGTCGGCCTTCTCAGAAGGGTTATTTAAATTAATTAGCGCAGACTTTTCAGTATTATTCCAACACGCTTAAAACCAGCATAGGCTCAGAATACCCAGCCGAGGATGGAAGGTTCAGTGACTGTGCTGCGGTCTGGCTCATGTCCAAATAAAAATGAGTTTGAGATTAATATGCTTAGTTAAATTCAGGACAGGTCTCACCATGACGAATGGAGAGGGTTCCTCTGCGTCAAGAGCAGGGTTAATCAAAATTCATTGTAACTCAGTAGTTTACCAAGGGAGCTTAATATAAAATATTGACATTTTTAATGCCTCAGCCAAACCCCACTAAACTCAGGGACAGTCCTAACAAGCTTGAACGTGTGCTGGGCCGAGACACAGGGGCTGTGCAAGGACCTGTGCAGCCTTCCATGCTTTGTTGCTATCTTGCTTTTAATGATCAGAGGAGCTTAGAAAGACAGAGAAAAACTAAGAGGGAACTTCAGCCACTTGTTCTTGGTGATAGGGAGCGAAAGTGTTTTTGCTTTTAATCTGATTAGGTAAGAGATGCAGAGCTAAATTATTTCCTCCTTTGATATGTTTCCTGTAGCTCTTCTTCATCCTAGGAATCTGGAGTTATTAGTGGTAAGAACAAGCCTCAAGACAGCTTAAATGAGTCAGAGCAAAAACACTTGAATTCTGCCCCTTTTGAAGGGACCTCCATTGCCTATTAGCTTTTTTTTACTGTTCAGCATAAATTTCTTCCTGTGAATCTGTCGAAGTCTTGCAAGACCATTAACATTTTCAGACTTCCAGAAATAGCTGCAGGTTTTCTTTTGGAGGTTTTCTCCAGTGAAATTTAAAGCAGGATTGCTGTTTCATGAGCATTAGCCTGCATTAGGTCTAAAAAGAAATGTTTTAAAAATGTCTTGGGCATTTAGATAGAAGGAATGCAATTTCTCTAGGCTATTTACAATACTTGATAGAAAGGTTTTAGCCAGAGTCATAAGCCTCATTTTTTTTCTCTGAAATTGCGAACAATGCACAATGTTATAAAAACTTGGAAGTTTGCATGGAAGATTTTTTGTTTGAATTTGAGTTTTAGCACCTGTTGGGCTTATTGACCATGCTGACCACAGAACCGTTTTTAAAATTTCATCGTTTCCACCATCTTTTTTTACCAAACTTGTGGAGAATTAGAATTGTGCTGTGTTTTCATTAGCCAAAGCATAAATAGAAGCTTTAAGGAGAGACCTTCTTGAAAAATCTGGCATTAGGCAGATTTGTAAAGCACAGCTGGTCTGTCTGGATCTTTTTGCCTATGCAGATCTGTTTTATTCATGTCAACTGTAATGTTGAATCCATCACATTGGAGTTTCTTTGCCCTGAATCCCACAGATTTCTTAAGCAAGCAATGCAGAAAGCAGTAGATTTAGGCAGTTAACCTGTAGCATCTTTCTGGCCTTGCTTCATGTCTGGTAACTTTCGATTTTGCCTAAAAACACACCAACTTTTCTCTGCTTGTCTCCCCAGTCCTCCTTTTTTTCATGCCAAAAAAAAATGCTCGTTTTAAAGTTTTGGTGTCCCTTCAGTTAGGTGCTAATAGCAGGGCTTGAATAACTAACACGGCCTGTCCAAAAGCTCCGAATGTCTTTGTGGTTCCTCTCCAGGAGCTCTTGTGGCCTCGTGGCCGTGGCGGGCTCTCCGGTGCGGGTCTGGCTCCCCAGGCTTGCAGGGAGCAAACTGATGTCCCGCCTGTGTGTGACACTGTCCTTGGCCCAGCTGTGGTGCCTGGCGCCAGCAGTCTGTGTGCCTCCTGCCAAGCTGGATCCGCAAACATTTTTATTTCTGACAAAGGGCAACTGTTAGGAGGAGTTGTTGTCTTGCTCGGTGTTCCTAATCCCTGGGATAACTGCTGTGACAAGCATAGTAACCATCTGCAATGAGCCCCATACGTTGGTGTCTTTCCAGTGCAATCATCACCACCACCTCCTAAGCCTATGATAGTTTTTGCATTTAAAATTTTTCAAAGGCAAAAAAGAGAGTTAAAAACTCACATGCTGGACAAATCAGCAGGAGTTACAATCCCAAAGGTATACTTGAAAAATCTGCTTTTTAAAATTATTTGAGGATTAACTGAATATCGCCACGTTCTCTAGGTATTAATGCAAGGTTTAAACAATCAAAGCCCATCAAGTCCATTCTAGGCATCCTGTTCTTTTAAAAAATATATGCCCAGTTTTACACAAATATTGCTAGCTTTAGAGAGATTTGGGTTGCACGGCTTTAAAAAGAAATGGTAAGAGATTTATGTAATGTCTGTGCAAAATGTAATGAGCACTAAACACAGTCATTGAAATCTGATGAGTTGCAGAAACAGGAACTAGACATTAATTTTACCTTCACTGGACCCCATTCCGTACAGTTAGTTTTCTATTCTCTAGAGTGAGCTAGGATAATATAATACCCACCCCATAGGATGTAATGTAGGGTTTAGGCAGGCCTTGTATTTTTTGAGCACGTCTGCACCGGGGATTTATGCACTCGTACATCTGCAGCAGTGCAAATCTAGTAATAGACGTAATGCATTGATGCTTTATTTGTTTGAATTGCTTCACTCGGTTTTACATCACAATTTTCCTGTTTTATATCAATGCAGAGAGTCAGTGCTGGATTTGCATTCTTGAGCTGCCTTCCTGAAATCCTTTGGGTCTTTTTTTTTTCCTTAACATTTAAAAATTGCTGGTATAAAGCATAGCATTTTGATGCTAAAAGTAATTGTTGTGTTCCGGTTACGATTTTTAAGCTAGGCCATGCTGCTTAAAGGAAAACTGCAGTATTTATATTTGACAACTAGCTAAATGAGCAAAACCTATATTAAAATGTCTGTCACTCTGTCAAGCTTGTCCTTTGGTTTATGACCATTTCTCTGGGTATTTGAAAAAATAGAAAAAATGCAGGAACTCTGATCACGATGCAAGGCAGATGGCATCATAAATAAATAATGGGAATTAAGCCAATCTAAAACATTTGAGTTTTTATAGGTGGACATTGACAGCACATCCCATTTCAAACCATATACGCAATAGGCTGGGAAGTGTTGTAGTTCCTTGGAGCTACTCTGCTTCATGAATAGCTGCAGAAGGCACCTAAACAAACCCATAAGAGAGGAGTGTTTCCTCGCTCCCATCCTCATCCCTGCTGCTCGGTCCCCCTCCTGCAGCTGCAGGGACAGTGCATGCACTTGCTGAAACAGGCTTCTTGTTCAACGAGAGATGAATGGATTCAGATGTGCTTTCTCTTCTGCCATAGGGTGAGAAAAGCAAAGTTTCCTGGGCAGAGGAACAGACAAAGGAAAGACGTGAGACTGGTTTAATTCCTTTCTTTGAATAAACAGTGTCAACATTTAAATTTTTTTTACCTTGAAAACTGAAATATTGAGTGTTGTTTAGAAACCAAAGAGGGAGAAAATTTGTTCAGAAAAAAAATCAACGCTCTCATTTCCTCGTGGAACTAGCTCTTTGCCCTTTCTTTTTTCCTGCCTTTCAGAACAAGATTTTGCTCTTTTTGAATGGTCTTGCTTCTTCCTTCCCTCCAGCTCGCGGGAGGTAGGCAGGAAATGTCCATTTAGCAGCGCCTCCCCGGCAGGCTGCTTGTCACCTTAGTTCTTCTATCAAAAGAACTATTTTTATGGTACTGACAAAACAGGATGGTTGAACAGTTAAATAGTAGCTGATTCGTGTAGCCTTCCTTCCACTGTAAGCTGCCTGAAAGACAGCTGGCAGGACGGAGACCATGTTTCTGTTTTATCGTTTTCCTTTCTCTTCTTTCTGCTCTTGCTTTTTCTGTTCTTTTTTCTCTCTCAGCTCTTTTTCTTTCTCTGCTCTTCTTTTCCCTTCTCTGCTCTTACTTACTTATTTTTATTCATTGCTTTTTAGTAAGCAGATTCCAGGGAAAACCCAACCAAATGCAGGGTTTCATTTGAGGAATAAAATGCACCAAAACATAAAGAATGTAAATAATGCTAACTAATGGATGCCACCTCTGCCTCTGCAGGCTTCTGTGTACTTAACATCTGCAGCACTATTAATAGGTCTTCCCCTGAATTAAGAATTTAAGGGCGATGAAGCTGAAGGGAGGCTCTAGAGAGTGGCAGGTTGGACATGGGAAGCTAGGAAAATTAGAGAAGGGGAAAGAACAGGACAGTCATAGCACAGTGTTGGCAGGGGAGCAGTTTGGAGACATAGTTTGTCAGATGGGTCAAAGGTTCAGAAAATGCAGCTGTTCAGAGCGCAGGGAGTGCTAAACCAACGTGCCGTGGAGAAGCCAGCGTGCAGCAGATGAAGCCCGTGGAGCCTTAGTTACTCCAGTAAATTGACCTTTGGACCTGACCTCATTGCCCTTTCACAACCCGGATTCCAAATAAAAACCCGTGAGGGTCAGGTTTGGGTCCACCATATCATCCAACCGGGCAGCGCTTGCAGCTGCTGGTTGACAAATAGCTGTATTTATCAGCGTGGAATCAGCCGTAACGTGTTTATTCCTCTGGCTGATAAACTTGATCAGTTTTATCCATTTGATCAAATACCTCGTGTGTGTTGGGCTCATGGGAGCAGATGTTGGAAAAGCCAGTTGCTCAGTCAAATGCCCAGGTGAAGTGATCAGAGTCCAAACGATTAGTTTGACAGAATCTCCCTTGTACATGAGGTTCTTAAAAATACCTCTCTGCTTTAACATGTGTCCTACATTGAGAAGCATCTTTAATGCTATTACTGCTACTATAAAATAGGAACCTCAGGCCTTTGACATCCTTTATGACCAAAGACCTTTATGCTCATTAATTAATGAAAACCTGGAAACTTGAGTGGCTTTTTAAGGTGAAAAATGTTGAAAATGCATGCACATGACCTACTAAACCTGTGATAGCATTACTGCATTTGAATGAGTAATTGGAAGCACCTTAAATAAATCAGCTGTGGAAGTCTTTTAGTTTTCTCCCACAGACTCTGAGCATCATTCTGCTCCTTACTTGACCAAAATCCTTTAAGCTTTAGTGGGAGTGATTTTTGCCCAAGAGTATTAATGTAGGTGTTTGAGAAAGATGCAGTTGAATAGGCAATTTGTGTTTTCAAATGTCACAACTTATATTGCCCTTTTTTTTTTGCTTTTCTTTTTTTTAATAGAACATAAATTATTGGCTTTTTTTTTTAATCAAATGGTTACCTAAAATGCTTTGAAATTAATTGCAGTTTTCCATTAAGAGCAAGCTCTCTTTAAAGTCCCCCTGATAACAAAGAGAAGACATAGCCCGGGTGGAATAAAAATCAAACTAAAAATGAGACAGTTGCTGTGGAGTGGAACGGTGTAAAGATGTAGCAGCTTTGGGGCTCTGGGACTGGGGAGTGCTCTTCAGACTCTTGGTTCTGCATGTTACCAGATCCTGCTTTAAGCCTGATGTATTTTGTGCAAAGCAGAAAGAACTGTGTAAATGAGTGAGTAGAATGACTCTAATATATGAGACATATTGATTTTTATGCCACAGCTGGAGAAACGTGCCATTAATTGAAGCTGTGAGCAAACGAATGTCATTTTTGATTTAACATCCTCCCTCCCCCTCCTGCTCCCTCCTTCCCTCCCCAACCAAAATCCTGCGTGCAGTCAGATTGTTGCTGTAGCCTTTGTGAACCCCTCTCTTTTAATGTTTAATCAAGTGCTGAAAAAGAGAAATTTACAGACTATTTAAAATGTGGAAAAATTGCTTCCCAATATTTTTGACAGAGAGAGACTGAGAACACACAGCATTGAATCATCAGGAAAATTGAAGATTTCCCCTGAACAGCATTGGGATTTTACAGCAGAGGACTTGAAAGACCTTGGAGAAATTGGACGAGGCGCTTATGGTTCTGTCAACAAAATGGTCCACAAACCAAGTGGGCAAATTATGGCAGTTAAAGTAGGTGATGCCCATACTTACGTTTGTACTTCAGTCCATTTAGGGTTGAAATGTGATGGAGAATTAATGTTCTTCCATCTATCACCTATCCACTGCTCTTTTCTATTTATTTTCAGTATAAAGGCTGCTTTTTTTTCCCTGAAAATACATTGTATAATGGGCATATTGTCCAGTGATTTGTGAAGATCTCATAATTGCTTTTGCCCTTTTGAAAATGCCTATCAGAAATTTACTGTTTTGAGGGGACCGCATATCTCTGGAGAGTGATAACATGAAATGGACCTTCACCTCTGGGTCACTGGTTCGGATATAGCCTAGATTGATGGTAGGCACAAGTTAACATCCATGGGTGTGCTTTGTGAAATAAGGTAGCGGTTTAAATTTTGTGGTTTTTGGGCAGCATTTGGCCATGGTGTAGTAGCTTGTAGTCCAAGAGGAGCTGGATGGGGAAAATGCATTCCAGGGAGTGTTCTTCTGTGTCACTGTATGGTAGTGTCCTTGCTCTGTGCTTACCATGCTGAACCTGCTCTGAAGATGGAGATTGTAGTGGTTTCCAGAACTGTCCCTGTTGTTCCTAATGCTATCCAGAAATTCATCTGAAGAACAACGTGCCCCCTCACCTCCTAGCTAGGCAATAGGGAGTAATTCCTGCCTTCCTGTAGTAGCTCGCTGGGGGCTGTGGAGGAATCGCTTGTCCCAGGAGCTGGGTGGGGTGGACAGCAGGCATTCCCTCCCTCTCTCTCATGTCCTTTTCTTTGCTTGTTGCTGGGTGGTGACTTAGCTCCATTGATGAGATCGTTTGCAAATGCTCCTGTGGGTCTAATGAAAGAGTAGAACAGAGCTGCAAACTCCACAACTTTGCATTGCTTTCTTTTTCAGCTCTGCCTTCTTTGGGATATTCTCTGATCTGGTCTGGAAATATTCACTTCTGCTGGTGTCATGTATAAGGTAGACATGTCTAAGCCCCAGCTCTGGCTACTGTGAAGGCAGTTCATACTTGTCTCAAGTGTGTCAGGACACCCAGAGTAACCACCATCCTCTAATTTTTCTCTGATAAATGTTGACTTCCTCACAGTAAAGGGATATTGGGCAGGTCTCTCTGAGCTTTTTGGATCCCAGGACAGTGATATTTCTACCTTTCTTTTTACCCCTTAAAATCTCCAGTGGAAGCAGAGGGTCCTTGTAGCTAAAGGCCTGTTTCTGTTAGTTGCCTTGATGGAACTTCTAGATGGAGTTTGCAGAGCAGAGGTTGAAAATGCAGATGTGGTGAAATGATGCCAGTGTGTTGGAGTGGTGCTGCCCTGGCATCCCCAGCCTCAGGCCTAGGTTATGTGGCCTGAGTGACAAGTATTGCTACCCTGAACATGTCAGTTGTGGGTAGAAAAAAACCCATAACTGAATGATTTTGTTAGCAAAAGCTCTGCAGTAGTTACAGCTAGGCTGAGAAGATTGTTGGCGTAGCTGCCATCATGGAGAATGGACAGGTCCACCGGTGCAGCAGTTCTCTTGCCCCAGTCTGTGTTTGCACAAAGGACTCCTCGGGTCACAGGGTAGTCCTGCCAGTGTCCCGTGTCAAAGACCCGTCATGCAAGAACAACCTGGGAGGTGGAGGGCTCCAGTGCTGTGTTCTTGAAGAGCTCGGCTGGAGCATCCCATTGCACAACCTGTCCCAACGGTAGGGAGGTGGGTTGCACCCCAGTAGGGTGCTTGACTTGGGGAGTCGATATTAAAAAAAAAAAAAAGGCTGTCTGAACCTTAAAATGTCAAAGTTGGGGCTGGAGTGAAGGCACCTTCTTTTCTCTGACCCCACTCCCCTTGGGTGTGCATGGCTAAGCCTGAAGCACTTTTTTACCCCTGAGGTGGCAAGGAAGGATGGAGAGTCTGGGGAAACAGTATTCGTTTTGAAGCTTTAAGCAGCAAAACAAAAGACTGTTCTCTATGGCCCAGGGGAGATAGAGCATGAAACTGAGAAAAGGAAAATTTGTGAGTGCAACAGTGTGTGAGGTCTCCCAGGCTGGAATAGTTACAGATAGTTTTCAAGGCAGGGTTGATCCCAGACTATTAAGTCTGTCTTTCTGAGATTGCTTATACTGTTTCTTTTGGGGCAGTCTAGGTTGTGCATTTCTCTCTGTGCCCTTGCACTATCTTATTCTACCTTGTGAGCCCTGTGTACCTTCTGCTCTGGTGTGTCACTCAAGCCTGCAGTGTCCTGACAGCTGATGATGCTGTTGCTTGTAGAAGCCCCTGTTCCTCACCTGCATTTAAGTAAGTCATCTGCTCCCTATGGTCTCTCCTTGCTTTTATAGACAGGAACTTTCCCCATTACATTGTTTTTTTTGTGGATTTTTTTCTCCCTCTACTCCCTGCCCTTCTGTAAGAGAGGGAGGTTTAGAAGGGGAATGGCTGCTTGAGAGGAAATCACGCAAGCACAGTGCTCAGGTAGTGCTTTCAGATCATAGCTAAGATCTAAATGGCACCTGCTCATAACTCACTGCCATGGCATGGTGCTATATGCAGGGCATTCGGGACCGCTTTTAATCCTGCAGAATTTCCAAGCCCTCATCCTTACTTGGTGGACCTGCTCTGCTTTTCCTTTGCTTCCCCAAGAGCTGATTACAGCAACATCAGTGCAGCAGGAAAATCATCCTTGGAAGGACATTCAGCTGGAGGAAATAGCTTTTGGAGGCCAGAAGCCAAAAGCTGTTGGCTGTTCTCTACTGGTGAGTGAAATAGAGATGTCTCCAGAAGCTGCTAGTTAGATGCAGAGGAAATTGGTACATAGGCCTCCTCCAGCTGCCATCACTACCCACAGCGGCTTTCCAAAGCATCTTTAAGTTTTCCTCCATGTGTTTCTGAAAGGGCCAAGTCCTGTTTGCACCTCCATGTGTTTCTGAAAGGGCCAAGTTTGCGGTTGCTGTCTTCAGAGGGCCACCCCTTGTGACTTCTCAGCCTCCTTCTGCTGTGGACAGGTTAAACTTCTGCTTGTTCTGCAAGTATGCCACGTTTATATTTTCATGAGCAGATGCAAATGTGCTCCCTTTCCCTCTGATTGCAGTTCTTGCTACGTGGAGGCAGACGGGGGATTCTGCACAGTTGTCCTGCTCACCTCTCACCTTGTGCAGATGTGTCTCTTCCATAGCACACAACCAGGTGCTCTTTCCAACTCCTTCCTCTGGCTTTTATTTTTTAGCCTGTCACACCACTTTTACGGGGTTCTGCAGTCTTTGATTTCTGAAGCTTGGTTTAGTTTAGCCTTCCAGTTTCTCTCTGCTTTGTGTAAGTCATTCTCTGTGTGACACAGATGCTGCCGAGCACCCAGGCTCCTGCTGCTGGCCGTCTGGTCCTCACTTGCATCATTCCTGAGCTCTCTCATCAAAGCCTTTTGCTTCCCTCACTGTCTACATTTCTTACCACAGAGGGAAAGCCACTCAGCCTCTGCTGTCATCCCGCATGTGCTAAAAGATGACCAGAATAACCAGAGGGAGATGCAGTTCTCTTGCTTTCCAGTTTCCCTGTCTTTCAGGCAGTTTGGCCTACTCAGCCAATTTATGGATCCTGGCAGCTTTGATTCTAGCACCTTTAATGAGGGTGTCTGGTTGCTCACACCAGCAGCCCTGCCAGTCCTCTGCATGAGTCAGAGAACTCTCATCTGGTACAGAGACGTCAGGGGGAGAAGAGGAGAATGTGCCTGGTGTGAAACCACTTCAGCAAAGCCTCCGGCCTCCCAGAGCCCTGCTGAGCAAGCAGGGGCCTTTGGTAACGAGCCTGCTCCTTGCTTTCCTCACCTTTTATCGTTCTTTGCCCCTATAAACACACACCTGAGTATCAAAAAGGCATTACCAAGACTCCTCAAGGGGCAGGCCAGAGGCCGGAGCAGCAAGATGGCCACCGCAGAGGCGGAGACGGCAGCTGGGCTGTCCTCTGGGAGGTCGATGGCCGGTGTTTTCTGCGATGCTTTTGCACCTCCTACCCTCTCTTGCGAAGCAGGCCTCTTCCTAGAGATGTCAGAAAGGAGACAGCAAAGGAGCCGGAAGAGAAATGTGAAGGATTAGTGTCCAAACCTTTTATTCTCTCTCCCTGGGAAAAGTTGTAGTATGTTTTCACAATCTTAATAAAAAATAATACTCTCTCACAGACCTTCCTGTCAGGCTGCTAGTATTGCAGTCTTCTGCTTGCCAGAAGAAACTGTTTATTTTTCTGAGAATTTATTAGCATCCATGTTAAGTGAAGACTCTCCCACATAGAAGAGAGACAGCTCAAGTTTGTCCAGTAGCAGCCCAGTCTGTGCAAATCCATGATGACAAAGTTGGTCCTACGTTCACTGCTCACCTCCTTGGCAGATTTCTCTTCTGGACTCCATGTTTTCTGTGAAGGAAGCTGCAGGCATTAGCCAACAGCCCCAACAGAATTTTTGCTCCACAGTTCTGCCTATTCTGGTTACCAGTTCTGGTGTCCTCTGACTTTATTTCTAGTTTCTCATTTTCTTTTTGATCGTAACTCTTTTTGGCCAGTCCATAGAAGTTCATAAGTGACTCATGGATCTGTCTGACTTCTTGGTCTGCATTGCAGAGAACCCTACTCCTTTCCCAGGATATGGCCAGGTCGTTTCGGTTCATGTCTGGAGACTTCACAACATGTGCCATTTTCTAGCCTGCTTTGGTATTTGCCCCTCATATCACTATGTGTTTTACCGCTCCTTGTTGGTTATGAACCTTGTTCCTTGATGATACGAGTGTCTTTGGTATATCAAAGAAAGTTTAGAGAAGCCCCATTTCATTCAAGTGAAATTTCAGGAGAATGTGAGGGTTTTGTTTGTTTGTTTTCCTGTTCTTAGGTTTTCTTCTGACCTTAACGATCATTGTCCCAAAAAAAGGGCTTTGAAAATCTTTGACATACTTGATTTTCCAGACTGGTATAAATGTGTGTAAATAAAATAAAAGCTTAAACCTGAATGAAAGCTAGGCAGTATTCTCGCTGCTGGAACAGGACGCTTATTACTT